CGGCGCATGGCGTCTATTTCGCCCTCTGCCCCGTCCGGTTCGTCTCGTCCGTCGCCCATTACAATAGCATTAGCGCATTCTTTACTGATCGGCCAACGTATCTCTCGCATTATGATAAATGGAAACGCTGTAAGAATACCTTACGTCAGTCGCGTCGAGGTGGGAGGACACGTACCAATTACCGTCGGGCGGGATCGTATCTGTCTGCTCCGGCGCTCTGCCCGCGCTCGCCGGCCGCCACTCTGCCCGACGCCGGCGGATTTAATGCACATTAACCCCTGACCAGGATATAATGGGAAACGTGTGCCGACCAACGCAACTCACAGCCGGCGATCGAGGAGGCGGGGCTTCATTAGACGAGGTTTAGCAAACAGAAACAGGAGCAAAGAGGGATGGCGGCCCGTTCCTGGGGAGGCCGCCACGGGAAGGAGTAGGCGAGTCTCAGAGAGCCACGCCGGAGCCGGACGACCGTGATCTGGACTCGGAGACCCGGAAAAGGCTTGGACCAAGACTCGGGGACCCGGAGAGAGGGTTTGGACCGGGACTCGGAGACCCGGAGAGGGTTTGGACCGGGACTCGGAGACCCGGAGAGGGTTTGGACCGGGACTCGGAGACCCGGAGAGGGTTTGGACCAAGACTCGGAGACCCGGAGAGGGTTTGGACCAAGACTCGGAGACCTGGAGAGGGTTTGGACCGGGACTCGGAGACCCGGAGAGGGCTTGGACCAAGACTCCGAGCCCCGGAGAGGGCTTGGACCAGGACTCGGAGACCCGGAGAGGGCTTGGACCAGGACGCGGAGACCCGGAGAGGGCTTGGACCAGGACTCGGAGAGGTACTCTGGGAGAGAGTGGTCACGGCTTGAGGTTGCCTCCGGGATTGGATGTCAGGTCTCGGAGAGGCGCCCCGCGGCCGGATGGTCAGACTTCGGAGGAGCATGCGCCGTACTGTAGGGTCAGCATCTAGAGTGGCATCCTCAGGACTCGATTCAACACTCGGAGAGGCGCACACGGGGCTCGATCCTCTAAGCACTTGGATAGGCGCCCTTGGAGCCAGTTGGTCGAGTTTCAAAAGGGCGTATTTGTCTTTCGGAGAGGTCTCGACTGCGCAGGTTAGCTAGAAGGTAATGCAGAAAAGAAGCTGGAAGAGGGGCACCGCCGAGGAGGTGAGAACGATACCACCGGGCCTCAAAAAGGTGAGAACAATACCACCGGGCCTCAAAAAGGTGAGAACAATACCACCGGGCCTCAAAAAGGTGAGAACAATACCACCGGGCCTCAAAAGGCTAGCCGTTTTCTTCGCGGACTCTTGACATTATTTCCGCTAAAGTGTTTTAAGTTCGCAAAAAGTTAGGGAGGGCTGATAAAAAGTGGCCTTTCCTACCCCACAATGTCTCTAAAAACGAGTTTCTACCCAAACCTGGCCTGCATTCTCTGCAGGCTAGTTGGAGAATCGATTGCGTAGCACATTTGGGAGCTTGAGCCCTCAACTGAATTAGAGATTACAGCCCTATTCCGCTCTGTGTTGTGAAGCTTGGACGAGAGTAACTTCCTTGGTCTCTCGGTTGAGGTCGGGTTCGCCCGAAAGGTGACGCCTTCGGGCCCTATCGAGCACGGCGCCTAACTCGAGGAGAATAAGAGCTGTCCCTGTCATTTGCGCTGTGAATGATCGCTTCATACGGCTATGCTATTCAAGTTACAAATAGCTTTGTTTCCAGCTTATGTTAGCGAGTGACGTCAGACTTGAGGACTTGCAATTTACAGGCTTACAACGCCAGAGGCCCGTGTGATCGTTTCGCGACACAACAAGTCCTTGGACCACGATATATGACCTGTGTCACCCTTGGGCCCAACATGTAAGATTTATCGCGTAGCTTACAAATCAAGCTATTTTGTTAAAACAAAACGTCACAGCGTGCGTTAGTGAAATCCAATCCCAGCATTAACCTCGCAACGAAACATTGATGACATAACGGACTCTGTTTCTGTTTGGTGCGAGGATTCGACTTCAAAGCGGTGGCTTCGGTCGGACTGAATCCTTAAACTGCAATGCACCAAAGCTCCACAACACAGAGTCCACCAATCTCCGCCCCGCGCCAGAGTCCTTCTGGCGGGTCGCTGGCTGCCGATGCGCTGGCTCATCAACAGCGGCCGGATAGATTAACGCAAACACGTGCACCGCTGAAAGCCCATCAGCTCGTGCCGATGCTGGTCTGTTGGGCGGCCGGATCGATGGGTGGGCCGCATGAGCTGTCGGCACCGGCACACGTCAGCGGGGTCCGGCCGGCCGCCGGCCCGCCGCCCAGCCCTGGAGCGGAGCCGGGCACACCAGGCGGCGTGGCAGGCTCAGACACCGGGGCGCTCGTGGCCGCGCCAGACCGGGTCAGGTCAGCTGCTCTCTGACTGGTCACAGGGCGCTGACAGCTGGCAGCGGGCGCCACTGTCTCAGCGGCCTGACCAGAGTACGAGGTGCCGTGCCGCGGCCGGCCCAGCCCGGAGGGCTCCCCAGACAGCGGCGCGCCGGTGCCGGCACCCGTCCGCCGCTGGACATCGAGCGTTGCCGATCGATGCTCAGCGGCAGTCGAGCTTCGGCCGGCCGCTCCAACAGGAGGTCCGCGACGCACTGAGCCACACCGGACAGCGGCCCCCACCCTCACAGGCAGCGGCTGTCACCCTCACAGGCAGCGGCTGTCCCCTCACAGGCGGCGGCTGTCACCCTCACAGGCAGCGGCTACCTTCTCACAGGTAGCGGCTGCCCCTCACAGGCAGCGGCCCCCACCCTCACAGGCGACGGCTGCCACCCTGACAGGCAGCGGCTGCCACCCTCACAGGCGGCGGCTGTCCCCTCAAAGGCGGCGGCCTCCACGCTCGCAGACAGCGGCCTCCACCCTGACAACAGGCGGCGACCTGGATCCGGCAGGCTGCAGTCTGCCGGATCCAAGCTGCCGCCTGTGGGAGTGGCTAAGCCAGTCGGTGCTTTCGGCGTCCCCCCGATGATGGCTGGTGGCAGTGCTTACGTTAGAACCCTATGTCACCGCTGGCCTATTAGACATCAACCGAGGTCGGCCCGGGCCACGGGACTTTGAGCCCAGGCTTCACGGGGACCCGGCCAGCTTACCTGACGTGGCCCGGCCCAGCCAAAAGGAATACAGTAATGACCACATATGGCTTGTTGGGATATAAATATTGCTGAATTTAAGTGAAAATCCATGTTTTTGTGAAATAGCTGCATAGAAATACTTAAATGCGTGCATAGGCCAATTTATTTCGGTGCTAGCAATGACATTTTAATTTGGTTTGTGTTAAATGTTGGTTCGTCTTTATCATCTTCCCAATGGTGTCCCCAAAAATTATACCCAGTCCTCAAGACAAAAAGTAGCCCCGGCCTACTTCTGTTTTGTCGACCTCTAGTTTCTGCGCCAAAAATTCACTCACTTTCAAATTGTGCTGTAGCCCACGACAAGTCGAAAAGCGACAAACAATGAAACTTAAAGAAGCTTTTATATAACTGTAGCACTGCACTGATTCATGCACGAAGCAAGCACATCTCATTGCAAAACCGAATGCATTTCTGCGCCAGTCTCACCTCCCTCGCTTCGTGATTTATTCGGCGCCGTTCTCCCCTACCCCTCCCCGGGTCTGGTGGACCGGTTGTGACCGATTATGCCCGCGGCGCTGACTCCCCGGGGCGGTGTTGGGGAGCGACCCAAATGGAGATATGAGGCCACACAGGGATAATGCAATTTGTGAGCAATCTGCTCGCCAGATAAATGTTACGGTTGATTACGTCAAGTGTCAATAGGCTCCCGCATGGCTCGGGTGGCGCGGAGAGCGGTGCCTTTGGTGTTCGGCGTCGATGGGGCGGGGGGGGGAGAGTGCTCGGGGCATTTGTCATGATCTCCGGCGGGGATGAAAAGGAATTATGGTAACGACTGCTTGGTGTCAGGTGGAGAGGTTCAGTGAGAATGTTTGCTGATGGGCCCATTAGTTAAGCACACATGCATTTGTGAGCATATGATCAAGTTAAAAAAAACACCTAAAAGCGCATTTATGCATAACCTTTACGTTGCAGGATGCACGTCTACCACCTCTGCATGTGTACCGTGTTAGTTTTTGAAGACACGAATATTATCGAAGGCAACACTCAGCAGTCTATGTGCAGCCTCCGCAGTTATGTCGGGTCAACGCATAAAATCCACTAAATATCTGTGTTCCTAACTGTTTTCTTGAGCCCGCCGCACACTATAGCTAATTTTTAGCACTGCAAAGCAAAATGGGACATTGTTGAGTCAGTGCTGGGACAGTCCAATTTTCTCCTTATATGCCAGTGGTGTCATTCACGCGGAACTCCTTTTTGAGCAGTTTAGTAAGTTGGCAGCTACATAAAATACATCGTCAAGAGTCATGTGGCAAACTAGCCATGCTGATTTTATGTCCCTCACATTCCCCAACTGCCTGTCACACTTATTTGATCCTACGGCAGCTTGCCGTTCTCTGGAAGCTGTTTATAGACTTTCTATGCTCCAACTCCTGGCACTGCCACGGACCAAAGTCGGAAAACTCCGCCGGCCGGGACACGCGCATCCCCGAAATTGAGCTGGCGAGAGTCACTCGGAAACTCCCCTTTAAACTGTCCAACTCGCTCCCTCACTACAGCAGAACCGACCGCTCCCCCCCCCCCCCCCCCCCCCCTCTGCGGTCGGCAGCGCGAAATGATGTCCGATTATGGCGCCCCGGGGGACGCCGGCGCGCCAGGCGGGGCTGGCCGTGCGGCGCGGGATCAATGCGGCGAGCGTGGCGCGGCAGCCGGCGCTGATTGCCGCCAGCGGCGCAGATAAAGGGTAAGCTGATCCGTGCGACCATTGTGGCGCCATTGTGCGCCCTGTTAGCTCCGGCCAGCGTGTGCGAATCACGGCACGGTTCGGCGCGTGCGCGGGCTAATTGGTAACGGTAGCGCGCTGCCGTGCACCTGCCGCTGTTCTCAGGTTGTACTCTCCGTTACAGATATCATCTCAACGGGCCAGAGAGGAATGGAGCCCACCCTACTCAGACACTTGGTGAGTAATTCGTACCAGCACGTGTGTTTGGGGTGACCGGGTGGGTGCGTACCGCCCTGTTGTCCGTATCCCTTCGATTTCCACGCGCGTCGGTCCGGTATGTCTTTCAAAACTGCAAAGTAGCGTAACTTCATCGGACGGATATACCGAACGATTCTCCATGAAAACGACATGCTTGACAGGGGTCAAGTAAAGTGATGGCAAGCATCATTACGTTTAGTGATACCAAAACATAAGCTAGGTGTCGTTCGAACAGTCGGAAATGAACGTATCAACGACAAGGGCTCATGACCCCAGAATGGAGGGAATGGGGAGAGGGGGGGGGGGGGGGGGGGTGGGGAGCGAGGTGACTACTTTTGTCCGTCCAGGAAAACATTTACATCAGTCCTATGGCGCTGAATGATGAGGCACCGACTCAAGAAGGCTTGAGGGGCGTTGTTCGCCCCCGCTCAATCGTCAGCCCTTTACATGTTTCCGTGCTCCTGACGGTCAGGTGCGTGCTTCCCGTGCTCCTGATGGGTCAGTTTCGTCCTTCCCGTGCTCCTGATGGGTCAGGTGCGTCCTTCCCGTTCTCCTGATGGGTCAAGCACGTCCTGCATCAGATTAGGAAGCAAATCAATATTTGAAACTACTTTCAAAGCGCAACACCAGTCGCTGCCTCACCAGTGAGCGTCCATGTGTCCGTGGAACATCAGTGAGCTGGCTCAGTACCCTGTGGCGGTACGGTCGACCACGCTGTGCAGTCAGCTTCAAGCCTTCCACGCTCCGGTTAACAAACCTGAGATTAATCCTAAGCAAATTTTCAAAGCGAAGGACCCACTTCTTACGTGCCGCATACAAGGGCGCAAGATGGTGCTGCTGCAGTTACTCGCTACTTGTTCAATTAAAATGAGAATAGTGGTGCGAACTGCGATCAAACTGCGATCTGCGATCAAACTGCGATCAGTGGTATATGCACGCAGCTGCCGCTGGAGACTGAGCGTAGAGAGCGAGATTTGGGGTATGGTGGAGCGTATGGTGGAGCGAGATTTCGCGCGCTTGTGGTAAGCGTACCTGCACTGAGTTGTCCCCCTCCCCATTGCCAATTCCTGGATACGCGCCCGACTGCAACCCTGATGACGCTACCATCCCGGGTGGCCTAGATCTTGCCCTGGTTTCGACTTATTTTGTGATCTGTAAATTTTACCCGTCCGATGCTAATCAGATTGGAACCATACATTTTACCTGCTTTACAATTCTTTTGACAAGAACCGCCAGCAGCGTACGCACAAATGAACATTTTGCAGCACGACTTTTGAATAATTGTGCTTTTTGATGGCGAAGGTTGTTTGAAGCTGCGATCTATCGTTGCGAAGACACGAGGCCGGCAAAAGCATAACCGTCTGAGCCACGTCGAGCTGCTAAAGCCGCAGATGTTCCCGACACTTAACATACGACTGGTCCCGTGCACCGACACGCTCGCCAGCCGGCTTCTCCTCACCCGTCGCTAGCTGCTGTACCCTCATACCTCTCACCCTCTCACCCTCTCACACCTCTCACACCTCTCGCTGCGTACTCTCACACTTTTCACCGTGAGCATGCCGCGACCTTGGGCCGGCGTCACGGCCGTGCCGACCAAGTCCGGACCGAGAGTGTCGGCGCGCTCCGAGGCCGGGCTCCTGTCCGGGCACCACTGGCAGCGGTGGCGAGCAAGCCGCGCCGGCCGTGGCATTGCCGCATATCTCACCCCCAGTCTCAATCCAAAAGGCATAAAATGGTTGGTCGTCGCCAAAGGCTCCAACCCATATCAAGCCAAACGAAACCACGGACACCTTCCTGATAGTGTTTCGGCTGTACCAGCCTGTGCGATTTGACACATATCGATAGGACTCGCTCTCCCCGTTTGCGCGATTTTCATACCGAGCCGTGATCGCCGCCTGGCTGCCAGACCTGCTCTGAGCGTGAACGGCCCTAACGTGGGTAAGGGACGCTCTAGCGTAAGTTCTGGCGGTAAGTCGGCGCCACCGGGCCGGGCATCTGGCCATCAGCACCGCACGCCCTCGGCGCTGGGCCAACAGGCGGCGTGGCCCACCATGAAGACATAGGCGGGCTGCTCGATTTGTCCGCCTGTCCGCCGGACGGACGCGCTCCCGCGCTGCGGCGCTCACGTCGCGCCACCACCAATCATCCATGGTGCGGCGCTCCTGCCACCGCGCCGCAAACGCCGTAGCGCGTCACGCCTGTCGTCCGCGCCAAAAATGCCTCCGGGAGGCTGCCGTTTGTCATGTAGTACGCCTAGCGCGGGAAATCGTTAATCAGAACCTGCGGAGACTGTCCGATGCCTATATAATTTTCGTATTAAAGGATAACTCTGTAGCTGGGCGCGGCAGCACGACAAAATTGAAACAAATGACAATAATTATCGCAGCGAGGATGGTTACGCGTGACAGTGGCCACAATTAGGCGCTTATACTCGCACCCAAACTGGCGGTGATGCCGGCTTTTTTACTTCGCTAACCGGTTCGGGAATTTCCTGCGCTTTTGCCGCTAAACAGAACAAGGCTTTGATGAATTGCAATCCTATAACTCCCGGAAAGTGTCAGAACGCTTGAGAGGTTTGTTAGCCCGCAGCGGCGAGGCTCGGCGGCCACCTCCCAGCGCGACTCCGATGTGTCGGCTGAAAGCCGAGCCTGCGACAGAGCAGCCGCTCAAGAACTCATGAAACACGACAAATGGCAATCAGCACCACGCCTTGTGCGGTGTCCGAAGAGTGAGTTTATAGCAAAGGTGAATGTTGTCATCATGTAGGTGATGCAAACACTCATGCAGATGGGTCTAATGCCTTTTGTGTACCAGTCCAAGTGGGCCATATTACTGCCTTTGATGTTTGTCTTTCATGTGAGCTAAGAGACATGTGAGCTTGGGATCATGAGCTCGCCTCACATTCTTGTGAGCTTGAAAGAAAGGAAGGCTATCTGTCCATTTTTGTCATATTTGTAGACAATCGGCGGTAACTTGCTCAGTGGCTGGACTCTTGCTCATCGCCGTATGCATCAGACTTTGGTTTGGAGATATTTGGCATTTTCGTATAAGTTGGTTAGCTAACTTCTTCATAATCTTTTCCCACTTGGACACGCAACCCCGATGATATAAATTTCAGTTTGGAGACAGCGTCGGTGCGCCATGAGCGGTAACTCGCGGCATGGTTGCACCCGCAGCTGTGAACAGTACGCTGTTTGCTATCGCCGATTGAGTCGTCCTTAAAGCAACAGCAACGAATGCGTTAAGGAAAGAATATGCCGGCACATAGGTAATCTGTTGGAAGAGGTAAATCCTGGCTGAAGGACTATTAGAGAAGACATAAGCCGAGACCTTGCTTTCAGGTGGTATTTTCCCCGCTAGCTGCATGACATAAAACGTTGTACTTTTACCACATGATGCTGTTTTGTTTCGTTCATGCGACACATTAAGCCACCGTGACAAAGTGGACGCTGCGTGGAACCTGTTAGCCTTCAAGCCGCGACCCAGCCTTGTCGTGGCCATCTTGGAACACGACCGCGTTTGCTAAAAGGCTTCGGTCCAGAAGATTGGCTTCAATACATTCTCTACAATAATTACCCTTAATTCGCAGCCGGCGCTGGACCATTAGGTGGGCAATTTTCCGCTCGTCCCGGCGGATTTCGGGCCCCTCTGGCCAGCGCCGCCGCCAATTGGTTGCAATCGCCCGTCCCCGTCAAGCGGTGACGTCACGGAGGCCGTGAGCCGCCGCGACCCGTCTGGGGCCGAGCGCAGCGGCTGACCCTGCCTGCTGTGACCAGGTGTGGTCAGGATGGCCGGGCAACACCCCGTCGGCATGGTCGGCAGTAGGACGTCGGCTCACTTGGCTGAGGTTTTTCGAAGGCTCTCTTCCGCGAGCGCCGCAGAGGTTGCGCCAACGGTCCATGTTATTTTCCTGAATAGGACGCACGTGGCCCTGGCCGCCGTGGCCGCGGGCGTCGTCCTGGCCGCCGTGGCCTTCCCGGAGCCATCAATAGCGAGTGTCACCTCTGGCTGCTGTGTCCTCCGGGGTCCAAAGTAGTGGGTCTCACCTCTAGCCGCTGTGGCCACCCGGGGTCTACAGCAGCGGGTGTCACCTCTAGCCGCTGCGGTCTCCAGGGGTCTACGGCAGCGTGTGTCACCCCTAGCCGCTGTGGCCACTCGGGGTCCACATTAGTGGGTGTCACCTCTAGCCGCTGTGGCCTCCCGGGGTCCACATTAGTGGGTGTCACCTCTAGCAGCTGTGGCCTCCCGGGGTCCACATTAGTGGGTGTCACCTCTAGCAGCTGTGGCCTCCCGGGGTCCACAGAAGCGGTGTCACCCCTAGCCGCTGTGGCCTCCCGGGGTCTACCGCAGCGGGCGTCACCTCTAGCCGCTGTGTCCGCACGGTCGTCCAGTGGCGGCGGATGACCTGGCACGAGTTCGACAGAGGCCGCCGCCGACAGCGCCGGTGACCGACAGGAAAGCTGGACAAAGGCCGCATTACTTTGATTGCTCGAGATCGTCTGACGACCGATCAGCTGACGAGCTTTTGATAATGGAGCGGCGCCAACAAGTCATTGTGCGCTCGGCCTGCGCCGGCCGGGTCTATTTTTACTGATGACTGGACGCGTTTGCTTTTTGCGCGGCCGCCTGTGGACAGAGGCGGCGGGAGGCCATCTTGGTGGACGCGAACAACTGGGACAGCGTGGCGGACGTGGACAGGGTGGCCAGCCAGTGGCTCTTGCCGCCACGCGGTGGAGTGCGGATCGGGAGTGAGCGAGCCGCCGCCGCCGCCGGTCCACCGCCGCCACCGCCTCAGACGCCCGCCATCTGATAACGAGGCCGCCGAGATGAAGGTACTTAGAGGGACAGGCGGCTTTGTAGTGGCCGCCGGATTGTAAACACTGTCCTCGGCCACTGTGCTGCCGCAGCCCAAGGCTGCGTTGGAACATCCTTTGCGGCGCCTGTAAGTGGTCATGGGTCATAAGGCACCGTGTAATTAT